TGTGGCGTCTCCCGTTGCAGAGCACAGGCTCCGGACGCGCAGGCTCAGCGGCCATGGCTCACGGGCCCAGCCGCTCCGTGGCATGTGGGATCCTCCTGGACCGGGGCACGAACCCGTGTCCCCTGCATCAGCAAGCAGACTCTCAACCACTCTGCCACCAGGGAAGCCCCAGAAAATAATTTTTTGAAAAATACCCAATCAGGAGCCTGTCTCCCCGAGTGTAATTTTTTTTTGGCCTCGCAGCTTGCGGGATCCTATTTCCCCCACCAGGGATCGAACCTGGGCCCTCACAGTGAAAGCGCCGAGTCCTAACCACTGGATTGTCAGGGTATTCCCATCCCTGAACATAATATTAAGCAGATCCCCTGGGTTTTGTTTATATTTCTCCCTGCCCCCACTGGGTAACAGCAATCCTATTTACCCTAGAGAATTAAAATCAGTCACCCCAGCCAACAATGGTACCCACTTTTTATTTTGCCCAGTAGCAGGTGGAACTCAAAATAGCCCACTGGCAGTCTCAGATCCTAATTTGGAGAAAACATTTTTGTGCCCCCTGGTGGAAGCATTCCTTCATTGGGTCCTAAAGGCTCTAGATCAGCCAGAGCCCTGAGCAGCAGAAACAGAAAACAAACATTTTGCAAAAGAGTCATTATTTGAGATTGCAAGAGGCTGCACCCCGACTTCCACTGCTTGGTTCCTGTCTGTAAGAGTAACACTGTATATATATATCGGTCACTGGTTCAGAGCATAGGGAGTATGTTATTCAGTGATGGAGTATTTCTTAAAAGAATCCTAAAAGAATCAAAAGCCATTGGTGCTGCGCTCATAAACTGCCTTTCCAATAATAGAGAACTAGCCTACTTATCATTTCTAATATTTTTTATTTAAAAATTTTTATCGAGACATACCTACAGAGAAGTGCACAAATCTTGTGTAGGTCAATGAATTTTTACAAAGTGAATAAACCTGTGTAACCCAGATGAAGAAAAGGAACATTACTAGCCACCTAGTGCCCCCCAACTCCTTGTTATTATCCTCCACAGGGAACCACTTTCCTGACTTCTATCCCCATAGGTTAGTGTGTCTGTTTACATAACTTGATATAAATGGAATCATACGATATGTCCTCTTTCAAAATTGGTTTCTTTTATTCAAGTATTAAGTTTTTTGAGATTCATTCATGTTGCTGTGTAGCAATAGTTTGTTCTTTTCAATGTTGTTTAATCCACTCTAGTGCCGTGGGCATTTGGGATGCTCCAGTTTGAGGCTATTACAATTAATGCTGTTGTGAGCATTCTCATACAGGCTTTCCCATATATGTATCCACAGACAGAATTGCTCAGTCATGGGGTATGTGTGTGCTCAGCTTCAGGGCTCGCACACTGTCTTAGACAGTTCAGGCTGCTGTAACAAAGTACCACAGACAACAGACATTTATTTCTCAGTTCTGGAGGCTGGGAAGTCCAAGATCAAGGTGCCAGCAGATTTGATTCCTGGTGGAAGTCCACTTCGTGGTTTGTAGATGTCTGCCTTCTTGCTGTGTCCTTACATGGCCTTTCCTCATGGAGAGAGATATTTCTGGATTCCTTTTCTAATTAGGGCACTAATTCCATCATGAGGGCCCCACCCTCAGACCTCCTCTAAATCTAATAACCTCCCAAAGACCCCACCTCCAAATACTATCACACTGGGGGTAGGGCTTTAATATATGCATTTGGGGTCACAAACATTCAGGCTGTAATGCATACTTTTGACTCCTGCTTTGGAGTCACCTGTGATACCCACAATCATTTGGGGGTACAAGAGTGCACCAGGATTGTTGCTGGGTGTCCTTCCAAGCCGTTGATGCCTATTCTGCAAGTTTGTGCAAGGTAGGCAATGAAAATACCTCTCAACTCTCATCTGCCAAACATGATTTTAAGGCACAGTGATGGTAAGAGGTGTCCTCATTCTGGAACATTAAAATGGGGGTGGGGCGGGGAATAGGTGCATCTTAGAATTGCTGAAATAAGATATATTACCAGGACCAAATACCAAGCCCTGGGGGCTCTGACAGTTACAGGTGGAAGAGAGGATGGAGAGCCAGCAAAAGAGGCTGAAGGTGAGCCTCTGTGATAGGATAGGATAGCCTCTTTGTGAAGGTGTGCCAGTGTGATAGGAGGACAGCCAGAAGAGTGCATGTCTCAGAGACCTGGAGAAGAGTTTGAAAAAGAAGGAAATGGTCAGTGGTGTCATGAGGGTTGATAGGCTGATAAGAACAGAGAGGAAATCTCTAAATCTGTTGAAATGGAGGTCGTGATGTCTTTGTTAGATGTTTCAATGAACTGGGGGAACAAAATCCCCATTAAACTGGGCAGAAAGAGACTTGGAAATAAGTCAACAGAGATATGGAGTATAAACAGAATATATGTTTTTATAGGGTGAAAAGAAATGGGGTGACAATCAAAAGCAGAATGGGCTTAAGGAAGGGCTCTGATTTTTTTCAAAGTCGATACTAAGCCGTATTTGTAGATGAATTTGCGTGATTCAATAGTGAAGGAGAAATGAATGGTACAGAAGATAGTTCTTCATGGAGGTTACGAGCTTGGGAGTAGGAAGCAAGGGAGAAGAGGCGGGCATCGATTAAGTTGGTGGCTTGATATGGTGGCAGGAAGGTGGGGGAACTTCTGTCAGACCCCTAATATTCAGGTCAAAGATCTGCCAGGTTCTGGGAGTTAACTTCGCCCTCCCTAAAATGGGCACATGTTTGGCAGCCCAAGTGGACTGTTCACTCCTCTTACCTTCGAGTACCCACCAACCCCTGGCCTGTAAGTGAGGGTAAAGGGTTAACCACGAGGTTAAAGAAAGGTCGGCGAGGTAGCAGGACGCATGAACTCTATCTAGGCCACCTCTGGGCCTGCCAGTTTTCACCAACCTCTCACCTTCTCATTTTTGGACGGGCCCAGACCCTCCCTCTCTCCTCCCACTCCACCAGGTGGAAAAGGGAGAGCTGGAGCAGGAGTCTCGGGACGCGCGCCCGTCTCCGTCGCGCCTGCGCATTCGTCCCTCGTCTCCCTGGCCCGGGAGAACCTGCAAGTAGCTCCTACTCCGTCGCTCGCACTCGGGCGCGCGCGCCCGGGCTGCGCCTGCGCAGAAGGACGAGGAAACTGGTTCCCCGTGCGGCCCCAGCGCCTGCGCGTTGCGGGCTCTGGGCCTCCAGGCCTGAGGGAGAGGAGCCGGGAAGATGGCGGCTGTGGTGGAAAATGTAGTGAAGCTGTGAGTGGCCGTTTTGCTCTCTCCTAGGCCGGGAGGCCTTGTAAGGGGCCTGGGAGCAGGGGGCGGCATGGGAAGGGAGGAGGCGGAGAGAAGGACATGCCCGGGAAGGCATTGTTGCGACTCCTAGTGGGGAGGGCAACAGGAGACTCCAGAGAAGACGTTGCGCTTCTTTGGAAACTTGTGGAGGCCCTGAGGGTGGCCCACAGGAGCCCCTAACGGGCAGCCTCCCTGTGGGGCTATGCGGTCTGGGCGCTGCCTTCGTGCTGAGGGGTCCCAGAGTATGGCGCCCTTGTTGCGTACGAGAGACGGTCCCGGGTTCGCTCCCGAGACGCCTCAGTCCGGGGGAGCCGGGCAGAGGGCGGACCCGGGAGTGGCCCGGCTGCCGACCCCTTCTCATCGGCTGCACGCAACCGGCCCTGGAGGAGCAGGCGCGGCAGCCCTGGCGCTGTTAAGCACTCTGGGCTGTTTTATTCTAAACAGCCCCGTGATGTTCCGGGTGGCGGAGGTGGGCGGCGGATGGTCCTTGAGTATCAGGTACCCGAGACCAAAAATATTCTTGGGAAGAATTTGTTGAGGAGCAGATACAGAGGGAAAGAACTTCAGGGACTAGGGCCTTTGCGCCGCCCAATCCCAGGCATCCAAAAGCGGGCATTGGACGGACGCGGTCCAGCCGCCCTGCCGCCCAGAGGGGCATCCAGGCCGGCCGTCTTCGCTGTGCAGTACTCTTGGGCTAGGCAGATTTCGAGCAAGGTTAAAGTTAATGGTTGTTGGGTAAATGGAGAATGGCCTGTTAGCTGTGAGTTAAAGATGCCTGGGGACTTGATGTAACCCAGCCTCCTCCCTGCAGAAGAATCTGAATGAATTTTGCAATGAGTTCATGCCCCCCGTGGGCGAATACAGCAAGCTCCTTTGATGGGTAAGTTTGGCCGGCTGCAGAGGTAGGAAAATTGAGAGCTGTCTAGGTGTCTAGTTTTGGATTTTGACTGAATGACAAGGTAAAGGTTTGGGAACTCTTCTAAAGGACTCACAGCTTCTCATCTGTCTTTGTGGTGGGCTGAGCCCCACTCTTCCCAAGAGCCCTTTTTAAGGGTAGATTTGCTTCTCTCCCTCCCCCTGCCTGGAGCCTTTTCTTTGAGAATGCTTTCCCACTTCCATTAAGCTAAGTGCCTTCTCCTTCTCCTCTTGTGGGTTGTTGTTGTTTTTTTTAACTTGCTTTCAGCTCCATCCTGCTGCCTCTTTCAGCCACCCCTCCTCCCAACGCTATTATCTTTCTCTCTGATCTGCCCACTCCAGTTTCCCCCGCTCTCTCTTCAAGCTGACATTTCCCTCAATTTAGGAATGATGCTGTTGATCCTTATATAGTTATCCTTCCTGACTCAGATGTTCTTTCTTTGTTTCCCTACCTTTCTCTTTGTTGACTCCCTCTGTCCCATTGTAAGGGGAGGTTTTAGACAGGTTTCATGCTTTTCGAAAAAGAATCAAAGCTTCTACCTTGGGAACCTTACTGTACTGGGGGAATGTCAGACTAGCCTATAGGTTTAAGAGTTATACGTAATGAGATTATTTATGTTGGAAGGCTTTCGTCGGGGAAATAGGGGTAGCAACCCTTTTGTGTGATGTTTGAAATGAGGGTTTGGCCATTTAAGTAGAGCATGACTTCTTATTTCTCTTTAAAGAACTGTAGAGATCGTGAGGGTTACCAGCCACTGGTTCCTGAATACCAGTAATGAGAAACCAACTTTCTCCTCCTCAGTTCTAGCTGTAGAGAGCTGTGGACCACAGTTAATACATTTCCCTA